ACAGGAACCTGCAGCCAAAACAGACTCTGGCTGCAATTATTCACCAAATGTGAATACACAAATCTAGACAGATTTGGTTTCAAGTTCCTCTGAAAAATCTTTAAAGATTTTTGAGTGTTCCCTTTTATTGAGAAGTTTACCTCATGCAGTTGTCCTACAGTTAGGGTATTTTAAGCTGCCTGTTGATGTGACAATCAGCAAAATCACAGCAAAGTCCCACAGAATCAAAAGCTGGTTTGGGTTGGAAAGGACCTTTAAGGATCATCTAGTCCAGCCTACCTTCTTTGGGAAATTCTTTGACCAAGACAGAAGTTGTTGAATTCTCAAGTTTGCATGTGGTTTGCAAGTTTCCAAGCTATTTGTTTCCTCCCGTTTCCCTCACTGTATACAGTCTCCTCCAAAGACTCTTACCATAATTTCTAAGATTATTATCTGTAAAAACATTTTAAATGTGAAGTAACAGGCATCCATCTCATCTGCTGTGAATTATGGTCTGTGCTTATTGGATCAATAGGAAAGAAAAAGAGATCTAATTGTATAGAGAAACAGTGAATTCAGGTTCTCTAGAAGCTGTGGGGAGATTAACAGAAAAACATACAATGTTTTCAGTGCCCCCTTTTTTTACTTTGTACTGCTGATAATACAGTGGCAGAAATGTCAGAGGAGCTGCCCAAGCCACAGAAGAAATAATCATCAAAATTCTTGTTAGGATATAAGCATATCTGTGTCTGTGGCTTGTGTCCATTACCTTCTATTTGTATTCCAAACAGTTTAGGTGTAACAGCACTCCAGAGATAAAATAATTGCACTTGTGTCCAGAGCCCATAGGATCCTCCCTGTCCATTACCTTGTATTTGTATTCCAAACTGTTTAGGTGAAACAGCACTCCAGAGATAAAATAATTGCACAGCAATGCACCCTCTAATGACTGAATACAACCTTTATTATAGAAATACCAATAATAGAAAAACAAAGAGTATATCTTATTTCTTGTAGTAAGTTATTTTTAGCAACCATACATTATAGCAAGGTAGAAGTGATCACAAAACCATCTTCAGGCACTCAAGATGCTAATCTACATCTCCCTTCCTCTTTCAGCTGAATTAACAGCTGTTTGTTTAATTTGTTTAATCCATCAGAGAACAAAAAGGACTGAAAGAAATTAAACCTTGCTTTATAAACTCCTTGGCAATTTGGCTAAGTATGACATCCTCATGTCCATGGGATGCCCTTATGTCTGCCTTGTGTGTGCAAGAGACCACAGTGACTGGTCTGGGCTGAGAGCTGCAGCACAGCACCAGGGATGGGCTCACCTGTAATTTCTGTGATGGCCCCACTGTCTCCTGACCAGCACATGCTTGCAAGCAAGTTCAGCTTTGCTTCCCTGGTGGGATGTATCGTGTCATCCTGGTCAGTATTTCCTGGTTTAGGGGTGGGTTGATCTGAGTCTGCAGCTGGGGGAAGAAGTGAGCTGAGGCTGCTGAGACCAACACTTCGGGTCACTCTGGGACCTGCAGCCTTGTGCCCTCCTACAGCAGATGAAACTGCTGCTGCCCAAGGTGTGACTATTATGGCCCAGGTAGTGTGAAACTAGTTTATCATAAGGGCCTCTTTTTGTATTGCTCTCTTTTAGGGACTTTTTGCTCAAAATGTTTCCTCAGAAAAAATGCTTAAAAAGAGCAAGTCTGGCAGGACCAAGACCAGTTGCCCCTATAGAGTCTTCCCAATGGGAGAAAGACCTCAAAACAACTCCACTAGATAAAAAGTACCAGCCAAATACCTACCTAAATTCTGGCAGAAAATAAACACAGGCATCAGCTGTAAAAGCTCAGAGAGCAGCTGTGCTGTCTAATTCTAATTCAGTGCTAGATTTGGAGAGGCAACACTCCCTGCTATGCTGGTGTGCTGACATGCATCCCTGCTGCAGACTGGTTGTGTTTTGAGATCAGGGAAGGAGGTGATGGGATGCAGACTGGGCCTCAGGTGGGAGAAAGGTTGCACTTAGGGGTGGGAATCTCCTGATGCTGTGAGGAATTTTCCAATGCATGCTCTACTAGTGTAAAGCACTAATTCCATTGGATTAATTTTGCTGCATGTTGGCAGCATTTCCCAGGAGCATCCTATTGTTTCATCGGTTTGTACCACGTGCACTTCACCTGTGTCGTTTAGAGTATTGTTTATCTAGAAAGGGCAGTATGCAGCTTATAAAAATAGCAAACAAATAATAGCAATAAAAACCATAAGAACAAATTAAGTTAACCTGAATGCAAACATTGTTCAATACCAACATGTTGATTCACTGTAGAAAGAAAAAAAAAAGTGAGGGGGAAAAATGGTTAGTCTTGCATCCTTGGGAAAAATGCCAGAGGGCGTCAGAAGATTAAACACAGAACTAGCAGTTAAGAGCAGTTTTCTCTCCTATTGTTGATATCAAACTTTAAAAGACTGAATATTAACATAAAGCAGCTTCTCAGAACAGAACAAGCAGATGCTATATCCATGTCAGTACATGTAATACACTGTACAAATCATGTAACCCAACAATCCAAAGAACATGTGAAACAGGACTTAGCTGTGAGTAGGGAAGATGTCTATTGATCACTGGGCAGAGCAGTTTAGGGTCAGACCATGTGCAGTGCTGAGCTTTTCAGGCAGCATTTGTTGTTAAAATGCCTGGATATACTGGCTCGGGACAGTGACATCCCTACTGCCTGCAGAGGCTTATTTTCAAATTGAAGCTCTTCATACATTTACCTGTCCTCATGGGCATCTCAGTATTTTAAAAAAGTGAATTTTAAATCAAGTACAGAAATCTGCTTTCTAAATAACAGATTAATAGTATTAATTGACCCTGATAACTAGAGGGATTTGACTAGGCCCAAGGGCTGATTTCAGTGGCTGCTTGTCTGCTAACTGGGGTGGGGAGGACAAAGGGGAAAATAAACTAGATAAAGCTCACTAAGCAATATGAACAGTGCTGGAGCTCTTTACAAAACAGAAACTGAAATACTCAAACTGAATACAAATTTGAATTTGAGTGTTCACCTGAACATGGTTCATATCACTGCACCTGTATTAAAGGCCTGAAAGTTTGGTATCCCATCTCTTGTGCTACTTTACCTTATAAATATGTTCAGCTGCCTCTGTGCTCACAGCTGGGTCTGACTTCTGTCTGATGTTTCTCCAAGTGCAAAAGTGCTTCAAAACTGTCTTTCTTATTTATTGATTCACTCAGACTCAAAGGGAACATTTCTGGAGACTGTTAATTACTTCCACAGCTATGTACATGTATATCAATTACAGAACAGTGTGACCATGTTTCCTGCTTCACACAGACCAACATCTTCTAGTAATGGAATGCAGGATTTCTTTTCTTAATTTAAAGAAGTAAACTTGCAATAGTTAAATACCAATAAAATATCAAAACTATTAAAAATACTTAAGGGAAATTGAATTGACAAGATATAATCATCAGTTTTCCCCAGTGAAAACCCAGTGAGGTTCCATCACCATGAATAATTGTCCAGGATTTGGGCCATTATTCATGGAAATGAAATTAGTTCCCAGCATTTCTATTTTGTTTAGATACAGATTAAACTAAGACTTTTTTGGCATATGACTTCAGCTTTTCTTTTGTTTAATGGGTGCCATTCCACAGTCTTTTACCAGGCCAAACATTTATTAGTAAAACTTAAGCCATTACCCAAACTCCTCAGGGGAAAGTGTGCTCTTACTCAGTATTATTTTCTCTTTTGCAAATGCTTTTTTGATATAATTTCTTTTCATTTTGCTGTCATTTGCTTCGGTGAGCAGACTGGTGTGTGCACATGTGTATGTGCAAATTTGTGCATATGTTTAGCTTTGTAAATCTTTTGTGACAAGGAGCTTTTCCTTGTTACAACAAAGAACATTAGCTGGACTTAATCTCAAAAGCAATTACTACTCTCATGCCTTCATCATTGGTTGAGCAGGAAATAGACTACAGAGTGTATCAGTTAGTGTGCTTCAAAGTAACTCCAGATTATTTCCATATGAAAATCCAGGTGCTCAGCTGGAAGCACACTGGATAGCATTCACTTTTGGGCAGAGAGTTTGTCCAAGGCTTGTGCAAGCTTTTATTTCCCACAGAAACCTTGAACATAGAGCACCAGTGGATTTCCATTCATCAGGGACCTCATGCAAGTCTGCCACAAAGGTGGACACTTCATCCCTGGCATTTCCAGTGGATGTGGTATCCTCCCCAATTAAGAGATCACAGTGCTGCTGTCTCAGCAGAGGGACAGTCACTGGGTTCAGTGGTGGTCACTGTAACAGGTCAATGTCTGAATAGGAAGTGAGTGGTTCATGAGTTCTCACAAGACCATGGAATATTAATCTCAAGAGTAAGAGTGACATATAGCCACTATGTCCTTGCAAATGGCTTAGTAGGAAACCAACCAGGAATTTAGGAAGTTAACCCTGTTATAGAGCCAGTGAGAACTTTCTTGTGAATGGAGTCACACTGACACTTACCTGAGATTTTGGCATAGACAGTCCACTGAGCTCTGATTTAACAGGGTTGTCAGTAGCTGTGGACCTCTGGTTTATTCACTTGAAGGTCATATCACTGGACCTATATATTTTAATAAATCTAAACACTATCTTTAACGACCCTGATGGATTTCCTGGGGGATAGTGATACTGCTTGCTTTAAGCTATTTTTAGGAATCTGACTTAGGTGGTCTGAATTACCTCCTTTGTTGGAAAGACAGAATTTAGGCTCCTCATTTTGGTCATCTGGACTAAATCTAAATTAGATGCTAAGAATAGCCTGAAGTAGAAGGTGTGAGTTTTCTCCTTCCCACCTTAAAGAAACTACTTCCAGAAATATTCATTAGCTTTGAGCACGTGGTGTCATCTCACTTAAAAATGTGGCTTCAGGGCAGTGAGATTGCCAGGCAGAAGACAAAACTCCTGTGACTTCTCTACTTGCTACACACATCTGGAAGCAGAAGGACACCTCAGATACGTTCATATCCTCTATGTGGCTTTCTCCTGGAGATCAGGAAAGTGGCAAACACAATGACAAACAATCCCAGGATACTCAGGCCCACAGCAATGGGAGCTGCTTTGCTGTTTCTATCAGGAAAACATTCTTCTTCTGAAAGGAAAAGGAGATCAGAGAATGTGTTATAGCAGAACACTGTACTCCTAGACTATACATCTGTATTTCAGAAATGTTAGCAAATACAAGCCAGAAGTTTTCAAAAATCTTGTTTTCTTTTTTTCCCATTCTTTTTCCTGAGATATATGAACTACCTTTTTCGCTATGATGAACCCTATCTCAAAAAAACAATCCTTGCCCCTTTCATAATAGCTCCATGCTCCACTAGAGAGTGACTCTGCTCCTTCATGTCTGCAGGAATTGTTTTACCACTTGGCACACACACAGGCATAGCTTTCTTGCTGATAGCAGATGGGGAGCATCACACTACAAAATGTCAGTCTAAAAATAAAGAACAAGACACATCATGGTCAAAAACTGTTCCTATGTGGCATCTAATTGCTTCTGCCCAGTAAAAAGATCAGGCCAGAGAAGGGAACCCCATCATCCAGCACTTCATTGGCACAACAAGGATCCTAGTCAGGTCAATGTTTCTGATTGTTCTCTCAGTTTAATTCAGAATATTTGTGGATAATGGTGGCTAACTCAGAACATCCAGAGATTGGGAAGGCAGAAGCCTTGGACACAGATACTCCAGGGAGTTGCTTTAGTGATACCATTGCAATTTTGTTGTGCATATGATGATATCAGAAAAGGTTTTGACACAAATCATATCTTTGATATCCAAAGATATTACTCCAAACACACCTCTTAGCTACAGAGGGGGCAAATCCTGACTTCCTCAGCCAGTTCCTACCCAAATGAATATTCAAGTCATCCTCAGATGAAATGGAAACTTATTGCTTTAAAATGAACTTCTAGATGGAGGTAAATTGGCAGATTTCCTATGGAGAGACTGCACCATCTGGGCCACTGACATAAATGGAATATTTACCCAGTAACAATGGCAGGACCAGTCTCAAATTCACAGTGCAAGTGTAGCCCTGGGAGCAAAGGCAAAGTCTGGGAATGATCACTAATGTGTTTTCCAAGGACAGGATCAGACCTACATCTTCCATCTGATCTACAGGAGTGGTCCTTGCTCGGGCTCCAGGGAAAGAACAGACCTCTACCATGATGCTGTGAATGGCACCTGCATAGCAAACTGTCCTCCCAGCAGGGCAGCTTGATCAGCTAAACCACACAGTATATCCCAGCTCAGCAGCAAATCCAGTTTATAGCCAGGGTATGAGGGCAATCCAACACCCTCTGCCCCTCTCTGTGGATATTTCAAGGCAGGTTTTGACAGCACTCAAAGATAAAAGCCTCTGTTGTTATTCCAATGACTATGCTGGCAGAGATTGTAGCTTGGCTTGGGCTTTTTCCCCATGGGAATCTTTCTGCTGTCAGCAGGCAGTTAGCCCAGGGAGCATGTGGAGTGCATGACATCATGTTACAGCTCCAGAGCCTCCACGTGGCTCTTCCCAAAATCTGATCCTCTAATCCAGATGGTGATGCAATGCTGCAAAGCCAAAGGCATCAGCATTCTACTAGATGTTGCCTTTTAAAAGCTTTGTCTGGTTACTGTAACCTGCTGTTAAATGAGCTGAAAAGTATTTGCATTTAAGTATTGTAAAAGCCAGAGATGTTTGAATTGCCATTTTGCTTTGATGAAACCTTGGGCTATGAACTCTAGAAATTGTTTCTGATGTACTGAAGTGCAGTTCAGAAGGCAAATTTTCAACTTTCCAGACTCAAAAAGGCCAAGCTATTGATTTAACACTGCTGCAGTGAAACCAGTGATTATTAATGTTTTCTTTTTGCTTCCCCTTTTAAAGATACACAAATCAGGAGCAACAGAAGTGAAACTATGAGTCTTGAGACACCCAAGGGGAGGAGAGTGGTGAAGTGTTTAGTCATTCCTTCACTGGGGATTTTGCCTTTCAAAATCTGCATACACAGCTGAGGTACATAACAGTTTCATTACTATTTCATGGCTTCTGGGGAATTATTTCAGAGGTGGTAGCTGCTATCTTAGCTCTTTGATTAAGAGCAAAACTAGTTTAAATTTGTGTATGGTATTGATTAGCAGAGATTAGCCTGACCTTGGAGGAGGAGAAAGAGAGAAAGAGAGCATCTTTCTCTGCTCAGTGTCTACTAGAGGTGAGGCCATACCAAGTCCCATCAATTAACCCACTCATTGTACAAATTTGACTGGGAATGTGGGGACCAGCTGTGATCCCATGAGTTGTTCTAGCTCAGTGTTATTCCATGAACAAATTCTTCATGAGAATGAGAGCATAGATTGGATTCTCAGTGTGGCTTTTAAAAAGTCCATGTCTTAAAAAACCCTCAAATGTTGTTTCCCATTATATTCCTTTTAGAATGAGAAAGGTAGCCAAAATAGTGACCTAGCAGAAGAAGAATCAGTCAACAGAGTGGAACTGAGTCAAAAGACAGATCTAAAGTAAAAAGAAGAATACAGGGGCAATATTTTGTAAGCATGCAGAAAGGCAAGTGTCAGAAGAGGGAATGTTTTATTAATGCATCTGAAGTGCTGGACTGCTGCTAAGCCCTTCTGACCACCTGAGTCCTTGTACAGAAACACCCTGAAAGGAAGACACAGAAATGAGAAGATGTACAATTTGAAAGAGACCCACAGGGTCCCACCTAGTCCACCTTTCTTGTCTCTCTCTGTCTTTTATTAAGTTACATGTTTGCCTCTTTGTGGTGCTTCTCCAAGAAAAGACAAATTGCAGAGGTGAGCATCACATTTAATTCTGAAGCTGGGAGCACACCACTCACGTTCCTCCTCAGGAACACATTTCATCATGTCTAGACACAGCTGCTCTGAAAGTATCATCCTGTGTTCACAAATACCTCTTATTAGTTGGCAGTTTTGCTGCTGCAGCTGTAGGACAACATGAGTGTCAGGAGTCTTTAAAGATAGCTGAAAGCTGACTCTATCAAGAACAGTGACCTGCAACTGAACTGTACACCTTGGGAGTTTGGGCAATGCAATGGTGGTGAACACACCTCTGCTTGTTCTGGGAGAAATTATGTGAAGAACAAAATTGTGTCTGTAGAGTTGAACATTTTTAATGAGAAGGTGAAATGGAAGGTGCTGAAGGGAGGAGGGAAAGATACTTTTCCATCTTCCATAGGTATTAGCAGTGTGTTGGAAATGACTTAGAAAAGGCTGAGAATACAGGCGTGGGAAGGTCACATTACTTGGGAATAAATACAAAGCTGTGATTGTGCTCTAGGTGTAGCAGGATCACCCCATGTTGTAATTTAGAAGATTATATCTATCAGGCTGCCAGAGTGCTGACATGTAGGTCTCAGGGTGGTGGTCCTTACCTTTTCCAAACTGGTTATCAACAATATCAAACGCCTGCAGCTGCATGTTAACAAAGAGGATCTGGAAGTTCTTCTCCAAGGTGAAGGTTTGCCTGCTGGCACACTTAAAGGAATTCCCCAGCTTTGTTGTAAACAGCTTCTTATTTATGGCTGCATAGTAAAACATACCTGGAGGCCACAGAGAAAGACAAATGAGAATCCACACTAAACCAGTTGGAATCAACATATTCCTGAAATAAAGTGGAGGATCTCCAGTGCTTTGGCAAAGCAGCAGTCACAGATGACTAAAGCATGGGCATTTCCCTGTAAAGTATAATTCATCCATGTTTAAATGAGTGCTTTAGCTGTCAATGAGCAACTCAGCTGAGCTTGAGTCTGAAAAAGTGGCTAAAATTTCAGATGCTTCTTCAAATCATATTTTAACAACTTGAGTCTGCAATAGGGGATTAGAATTCCCTCAGGAGCAGACAACTATCTTAGGTCTCCAGCACATCTATGTCCAGACAAAACAGGGAGACAGAGTGTTTGTATTTCCTGCAATTTGAACTTAGCAATGCACAGAAAAACTATGGGCATTCAAACTGAGAACATTCCTAGGAGACATGTCCTCTGGATCAGATTTTCTTTTACTTTCCTTGCTATGCATCAGAACAGGCTCCACCTGAGTTAACAAAATGCTCATCAGTGTGAATTAAAATAGGCTTTTTTTGAAGTTTGGTGCTATTAGGACACACCTGGTTGAACTCCTGGTTTGTTTTTCTTCTTACAGGGGTAAAAGCCAACTCAAATACTTGTAAGTAACAGAGAAGCAACATAATATAGTCATTAACCAGTCACAGATCTGATATACTGGGAAGAATTTGTGCAAAAATAATGTCAGAGAAAATCTGAAGTAATCGTTCAAAATTTTTCTCTCTGACCTAAATGATGTTCACTTAGTGTTTCCTGGGATGCAGCATCTGGGGCAGCTCCTGACTGTTCAAACAACAAGATGCAGGACTGTATAGCAAACAAAATCCAGTCATCTGAGAAGAACATGGACAAGGTCTAGGATTTCAGGATGTTTTGAAGACTCTCAGCCTGGGTCCAGCTCTTATTTTTGCCAAACCAAAAGGTCAGACATGCCTCCAGATACTGGTGTGTCTGAAATCTGGATCTAACTCTGTGTTTCTGTGATCCAGGTACTGTATTCATTAACTTGGCTTCTTGGATTGAAAAGACACATGCACCTGAACTGGAGTCACAGCAGTTTTGTGCATTTGCAGATAAAAACTCTGAGAACTGTTTGGTATCTTAAATTTTGGTTTGAAGTAATCACTATTCTGAAAGAGGTGAGACAGGGAATGTTTTTGAGGCCAAAAGGAAAATGTAACAATACTGGTATAACTGCAGCTCTGTCCCTTCATGTCCATTTTCATACCATAAGATTTAGGTGAATGACATGTTGAAACTCTGTTAAAACATGTATTTGCAAAGTTCAGCATTTTAAAATTATGAAAGCTTACCCCACACCCAGAACAGTCTGACATGAAATTAAGACAGCATAAAATCACTGACCTTCAACAGATAATGGCATTCTGCTCTCAATTTTACTGACATAGTAACTTGGAGCTTGCTGCAAAAGAAGATATATATCTTTATTCATAATACATACTCATATTTGTGGGGAAAAGACTTACAGTTCACCATAGTAAAATGGTCAGAAAGAATTTCCCCAAAATACACATTTCAAAGTATCACACTCAAGACCTAAGAGCAAACTTGCTTGGATATATTGCTTTTTTTCTTTCCAGAATCTCACCTACATCACCAGTTCTGCTCAATTCAGTGAAATGGGGCCGTGCAGGTGTCATTTTACACTAACTGCTCAAGCCAGACCTGTGTGTGGTACTTGTGGCAACCAGAAGTAGGAGGGAGTTAAGCAAATACATGGCACAAATTCACAGGCATGTGATAAGGCCTTTTCATTTTGAAATGTTCTGCTTTGTGGAGTCCCTACAGTGCTCTCCTGAGTAATCCTGCACTGGATCCATCCATGCTGCCCTGCAGTCTGACTGCCTGCAGAACCTACCCCAACCTCTTCAGAAGAATTCAGCTCTCAGCACTGCAGTGGATTTCATGCACAGGTGCCCTTGGTGTGAGCACAATGCACAAAGCAGCAGAACTTCTCTGGCCATTGCTGTTTTGAACTGGGAGAGGTCAGCAACAAGCTGAGAGCCAGGAGGTTACCTCAGGCTCCTACCACTCATTTCCCTTTCTTGTCTGCCAACCATGGTCACTACAAATGAGGAAACAGCAACCTGGATGTGTAGGGGAGAAATAACTGTTCTTTCCACCCTGCTGACAGTGTTGGTTCTTGCTGGCTTGGTTTCATATGCCTGCAGACTCTTGGCATGGAAAGCACCTGGTAGAACAGCACAGAGCAAAACTTCCAGCCAGGTGTCCTGCCTGCATGTACCCTACAACCTGGGGCAACCAGAGCACTGTCCTCCCCTGGGCTGTCACAAAGTGAGATCCAGCCCTGGGAGCTTCTCCCTGGTAGCAGTGTTGGAGTATCATGGGATGCTTTATGGAGCAACCCTACTGCTCAATTTCATCCCAGCAGTGAGCACACAGGGACTGGTGAGTGCAGCTGGTGGATAGATGGCAGCAAACATGAATGTCTCCTGTGTATCTAGTTTTAACATTATGCAGTTTAAAAGATGGTAGGATGGACTGGCAAAGTTTAAGAAAGAAATACACCAGAGAAGAAGTTATCAGCATTATTCCAACTTAGAGACATAAATAGGTCAAGTAATACCATTTTGGGGTGGCAGTGCTGTGTTCTGTTTGGCCACAGTTAAAATCTTTGCCTGGGGAAAACACCTGCTCCCACTTCATGTCTCGTGGGTTGGTTACACAACTTCCTTTTCACAAGTTCTTTGCAGAGGCTGTTGGCAGTGGTGAGTGCTGAGGCAGCAGCTCACCTGCCACCCCACACTGGCACCAGGGCCTGACCAGCTCCTCTCACACCAGGGACAGCCAGAAGCACCACCACTGCAGCACTCCTGCTTCAAAGCAGTGAGAGAGGCTGTGGGGGCCAAACATAAAAAAACAGCAGCAAAATGATTTCTTATTAACTTGAATTTCAAAGCAGTTCGAGCTGAGCCCTGCTATGCTCTTGAGGCTTATCTTTAACTGAAGGGTGGATTGTCTAATGCTGTGCCAATAACCACCTTTTTCAGGGCAAGACAGGTCAAGCACCTCCTAAAGGTTCACATTTCTCTCCTTAGCAGTGCTGCAAGCTGAGGCTTTCATGGGTACTTGAATCCCCAGCCTTTTTGCTAAGGATCCTTGTAACACCGAAAATGCTCCCCTTGCTGCAGGAAGCACATATTTAAAGCAAACACTCATGGTCTGAACTGATCTTTTGTTTTAAAATGCCTCCTTCATTTTTTACCTCACTTTTCCTCTGTTGCTCTATGAAAAGTTTCTGCCATAAACTAAAATCAAGATGATTATTAACTGCAGTCTTTTCTCTGCTCAGTAATTAATGACTCGTGTGGTATAATTTGCTGTCCCCTGTTGGACTTCTATGGAAACAACTGATCAACCATTTGTACCTTTCTTAATTCTGTAATTCTAGCTTGGAACCAGGCTGTAAGACTGACACTTTGTCTTGATTAATTGAAGGACACAGACCAGCAGTGACAACCAGATGCAGCTCTGAACTGCTTTGGAGCTCCAGGACAGGGCCTTGATGCATGTTACACTTGTCAGGGTTTGATGGGATCCAGTCCACGCTGTATTCCTCCCTGCCCATTAATGACTTTATACACAGTATTAATTTCTGTCCTTAGCCTTGCTGGCATCACCATCCAGCCCTTACAGCTTTCAGATACACAGTGCAGCATGCTGCCTCCCAAAAGATGCAAATGCCTGAGGAAGCAAGAGGTTGGCTGCAACTCAGGGGTTTTCTCCTGTAGTTATAATGGCTGCAGCACTCTGCACAGTACCTTGTGTCAAAGTCTCACCCACATATGATGTGGTCCCAGTGGGGAACATGGTATCAACAGACACAATGTCAAAAAAAGAGCTAATTTTCCCACTACGTAAGCAGGGCCTCCCTCTTGCCCAATTTCTGTGTGTACTTGTAAGTGTCCTTGGTGTGGTGCATTTTAAGGGCACTTATCTACAATTTTGTTGTTGTAGTTCATTTGTTTGGAAATTTCCACTCAGAAAATAGATTAAATTAGGCTCCTTCAGCTGTGGATGGGTCATGGCTCCTGGGCACTTAAAACTGCACAGGCTGTCCTTTGAATTTAACAACCCCAGCTGGCTTTTATGGGAAGTAAATGACTAAGAGCAACTTGACAGTGTGAGTCAGAGCTCCCAGCACACACACCTTGTTCCTGTGCAGGGACTCCAGTCCCAAACTCTTTCCTCCTGAACCACTCCAATGCAAACAGCAGACCTGACATTCTCTCCCATGAGATTTTTACCTATGTAAAAAAGAGACTCAGATTTTTCTTGAGGATATTTCTAGACTTTGTGTTGCTTGATGGGGAGCTTTAACACTGCTCTCTAGCACTTTCTATCAAAGGATGGCAAGGCACTGTGCTTACCCTTCACTGCATGTACAAACCTTTCCAGGCTGAAAGTCCAAACAGACAAGACCTGATTTAACATCAAAGTTAGCCCTGCTCTGAGCAGGATGCTGGACCAGGTAGCCTCCAGAGGCCTTTTCCAAGCTGAATTAATTCATGATTCTATAATTCGAGCCCTTTGGGAAGGATGAGAGTGATAGTGCCTTATATACAGGTGGAAAACAAGCACACAGAGATGAAATGGATCAAAGACAGAGTAAACCTTAATCTTAAACACTACTTTCCTCTAAATGCAACAATTACCTTTACAAAGGTGAAGTTTACAAACCCTCCACTGAAAGTTAAGTTCAACTCAGACTGCACCATCCCACAGCTTCCAGATATCTGTGTCTCATTGGGGTTGACAACTGTGTACTCCATCTGCCCCTGTGGAAAGAAGAGACATCGCAGGGCTGCTGGTGAAGAGGAGGGGGAAACTTCAGAAAAAACACATAGAGATTTATATCTCCTTTGCTTTTTTCCCCCAGACATGCTCTATGTGGCCACATTAACAGGCCAGTGGTGGTGGAAGCCAAATTGCTGTCTGCCAGGGTCGCTCCCCACTCATAAACCAGCACTAGGAGTTGTCTGACACATCACTGAGCTGTTCCAGTGCATTAAGATGGCAAACAAATACTGCTTTTCTATGCATTCAGGGAACTGATATGATTCAGAGCAGGGCCAGATGAGTACAAGTGGTAATTTATAGAGCAGACAGTGGGAACCTATGCCTAAAGGCAGAGGAAAGATCATGGTAGAGGTAGGCAGGGGTTAGATTGGCTTTGACGTGTTGCTCTTTGTATCACCCCTGCCTGCTCATTATGTCCTGCACATCATTCTAGTACTGACAATTCACACTGCAGTCAGAAAGGAGAGGATACCAGCTGCCCAGCATCTGGCAGCTCCTGTGGTCCTAAAATCTCCATGTGTCAGCATCAAGGCAGCCCACCTCTGAATCCAAGACTGTGAACTGACAGTTTCTTGTTTCTATTGCAACTCACCATGTCAAGCCCTTCACTGAAGTCAGTTTGGACTTTAACTATGCTCCTGTTTTAGGAAACAGAAAAATGCTGCGGGTTGATCTACCCCCCAAGGATTGCTTCCACACATCCATCACTGATATGAGGAAGCACCTGCACAGCCTCCTGACATCATCAGACAAGACAAAGTACAGCAGCTGAGATGCTGTGGCACATGAAGGGACTTAGACTGGCAGAAAACCACTTATTTTTATCATAGAAGTGACCTGCTGAAAATGGCTTTGAAAGAAGAATAAATTCCAGCTAATGAAGGAACAGTCATTACAAAGCTCAGCTTCCATCTTACCTGTGCATTTTGACTGATCAGTTGCAAACCCATGACTGCTTTGATACAGGTCCTGTTCCCATTGGAAACAGTGTATGTGCCAGTGGGGATGGCAGAAGGCTGTGGGGCAGGAGTGGGTCTCGTTTTTGTAGTAGATGGGATGGTTGTTTTTGTCCTTGGGCTGCTGGTTGTTATGTTGGTCACAGCTGTGGATGTTAAACTTTTAGTCGCTGTTGTTTCTTTTCCTGACTGTGTGGAGGACTTTACAGTCTGGGTGGTGGTGGCTGTAGAAGTGTCAGCTGTCATTTGTGTCTTTGCTGTTGTAAGGTTTAGGGATGTATTGGTGGCTGCCACTGTCATGGGTGTGCTCATGTGTGTTCTGGCTTGCTTGGTGGAGGACACAGAGTGTGTGATCATGCTCTTCACTGCAGGTGTAACTGTGTGCATTGCCTGGATTGTAGCCTGGCCAGCTGCACTTGTGTTGTCTGCTGGTGTTGTGGATCTGGTGGTTGCTCCTGCCTGGGCTGTCATGTGCTGGCCTGAAGCTGCTGTTGCCTGTTGCTGGTCTGTTGTCTGCACAGTTGTTCTGTGGCTCATGGGTGTTTTAAGAGAGCCTGTGCTGTTAAAATGATCTGTGGTGCTTTGATGGGGTGAAGAATCATAGAGGTACAGTAGCTGAGCAGAAGTAGCTGTATGGTTGAAGGATGTGGTTTCTGGAGACAGTTCGACCCCCAGGGCCACTTCAGCAAAGCAGAAGGAAAATGCTGCAAAGAAACTAAAGTTATTAGTCTAGAAACCTTTGCATTTAACATTTCTGTTGATCCTCACAACATAATGTCACTGGTTTTGTTATCAAATGGGTAATATGAATTTATCCTTCATTTGGCATGGTAGGAGAGTGAAAGCAAATACCCTGTAGGACTATCCATAACTTGACATCACTCCCCCAAGCCTCACACATCCAAATACACCCACTGCAGTGGAAGCACACTGGCTGCCAGCTCTCCACACACTGCAGAAACCAGAACATGCCAGAGGGTGAGCAGACCTTACACAATCCCCAGGCAGCACAAGAATTCCCTGCAGGCAGTAGCACAGCAGGATTTGCTGAAAGCAGATTATCAAGGCCTAAGAAAGATGAAGGGGATATAACAGGTGAAAGGGTTGTTGGTTACTTACCAACAAAGTACAGGGAAAGGGAACAGACTGTGTGTGAAGGATGCAGGGCAATGCAATGGTCTTACAGTGATTCACAACAGTCTGAGAAACTAGTCTGGGAGACAGGGAAATTCCAGATATTTATGGTTTTGTTGTAGCCATGTCAGCTTGAACCCTGAAGTTCTTCCTCCTGGGAGGTACACAAGGGGATGGTTCAAACAAATAAAGACCTTCTTAGTGATAGGCTTCCAGCAATGAGAAACAAATTTCAGGGTACAGCAGCCAGGGGCATTTTGGACCACATGTAAAAATAGTCACAGCACCAAAATTACACTTCCATCTAATAACATTTACAGAAACACGTCCCTTGCAGAACTGAAAAGAAAATGTCTGGCTCCTAAATGTAAATGATGAAGTGAACAAAAAGTAGGGAAGTACATTCTAGAATACATGAAGGTCACAATCCTTCTGCTCGAGTCTTTGATTCTGAGTATGCAGTAAGACTCTAGAAATACAAGGTCAAGCTAAAAGAAATCATAAATCATCCACATATATGTGTTCTTTGATGTATGTGAAGCTTCAGTTGAATGCTTTACTGCCTGAGGACTAGTAGCTGGAGGACAGAGATGCATTCTCCAATTTGGAGACAGAAGGGAATCAAAAGTCCAAGACAGCTCATATTCCTATGGTATGGCTCCACAGAGGACACCACATGATACCTGAGCTTATTGTACACTGATTCTTTCAGATAAATTTCTCATGAATCAGTGTCAAAGGTTTGTGGCAGGCAGGTTTCTGATATTCAGATTTTAGGATAGATGAAGGCCAGAGGCATGTTCAGAGTAAAGGCTGAAATCTCACAAGTTCTTCCTTGTATTTATTTGTTTTCACTCATCATGAACAGAGCTCTTCAATAATTGCTGAATTCACAAAATCTCACCATTTTAGGATACATATAAGCCAAATAAAAATAGTAAAACCTACTGGGTTTTGAATCAAACCCAAAGAAATGACAACAGATGTATAGACCTGAACCCACAGCACAATTTTCCCTAGAAAATGGCTATGCTAGGGAAGAACAGAAGCGTAGATGTATGTACTAAATTCCTAAAATTGCCTGGATTTCACTCTGTGCTGTGCAGAGCACACTTGACTGCCCGTGTAGCTCTTATCGTCAAAGAAGTGCAACTTGAGACAGTTGAAAAGCCACAAAAATATTGTGATTTTTATCAAAATGAACCTAAAAATCTGTAATTAACGTGATACTTCAGTTCTTTTTCTCACTTTGCCCTACACTTTACCACAGCTGCTGCAGAGATGAAAAGCAGATAACTGATCTCCTTCTCTGTGTGCCGATGAAAAGTCAGAGCAACTGCCATATACAGCTATGGGCAGTTGCATCTGAGTGTATCAGCCTGATAAAAACAAGAAAGAAGAAGTTGCAATTTTCACTCCTTCTTCCCCTATAAGACTGCGAAACAACCCATATTTAAACTTACACAAGTCTTAAACAGTCAGTACTTCTTAGTTTTTAGTTCACAGATTGGTTTCTATTACTGACCAGATAACACTTACATTACAGATGTGGAGGGAAATATTATTTAACTGATATTGGAATGTCACCCATAGCTTTTACATGAAACTGTTTTCCCCAAAAGGTCATTTCAACCCAACTATTTTTCTTTATTCAGTCTGACAGGGTCACTGAAGGGTAAAGCCAGAAACGTCTTTGGGGTGGCCCATGGCTCATGCTCACTGGGTGACCTACCAGACCACTCCTCCAGGCTCTCCCAAGTATTTGGAAGCTCTTTTCAGTGCACAGCCATGCTGCTAAACCTGTTGGCTTGGACTGTCTTCTCAAAAGACATTTGGCCACATGAGCTCCCAGGGATAAGGATTGGTGTCCGGTTGCACCTAATGGTCTGGGCTCTTTTTGGGTGGCTGTTGCAGATCGTTCAGTAGCTGCTGTGTGAAGGGACAGGTGGGTCCATGGGGTGTCTGCCCTGCCCTCCAACTAAGGTCAGGAAAGCTCCCTCAGCACTGCAGCATTCCTCCCAGGGAGCCTGGCACAGCTCAGTGAAGGAGCTGCCTGCACGTCTTCCCTGACCACAGCCTTTTTCATGGCTCTGCCAGCAAAAGGGGCCAGAGAACAAGGAATGGCAGCTCTGCACCGTCCTCTTAGTCTCTCGGACTTTTTCCTCCCATGAAGCCAACTCAAAACTTCAAACAAGCAACATTTTGCTTGAGGGATGCAAGTGCCCTGAGCTGTATCTTCCTAAAACAAGCAGATGCAATCCCCCCGTCTCACTTTAGCAGCAAAGTTGTACATTATAGGTGCTGAGGGCTGTGCTTGAGCCTGAGCAGCCTGCATGAAATGCTTCAGAACAAAACTCTCAGAAATGTATCAATGCAGCTCTCAGAAATTCACTGCTCCCAGTCTGGGCCTGGAGATCCTGTCCTCATGCTTCGGTGGCAAGTTTCAGTCACGAGGAACATCACTGCTCTGCTGCCAGGCATTATGGTTGGAAGCAGAGTGCTCAGTGCCATGATCTGGCTGTGGTATTTCTCAGCCTGCCATCCTGTAATGGGGTTGGTGATATAAACTCTGAGGATTTTTTTCCCCTTTTCATCTAACCACACACTTGCTGCTCAGCAGCCCAGTGGGTTTGTTCTGCTTTCTGCTGCCCAGAAGAAATGCTCGTGTTTAGCTGACTGATTCTACGTGGACACTAAAACTCACCCAGCTCCTGTAATCACTGAAAAGACTCTCACCATCTCTGGCTGCTTCAGTTTGCTCAAGGAATTGGAAAAGCACCAAGATTTTCAGAGAGGTTTCAGTACTGTTATAGCTTCTGTCCAGATTAGGAGCAGTTTCTGAAACCTCCAACCCATCAGACCTCTATCCCTTAAACTGTAATTATGTTTAATTCCCTGTCTGCACAGGAACACCTGACTTTGTGATACTGATAAAGCATCATAACAAATTATTAAAGGAAAGATCAAAACTGGACAAGGAGCTGCAAAAACAAGTTTTTTTCTGGTCAAAAGTGGTTGCTGACCACTGAGTTATTAGTGTTAATTCTCAGACTGATCTTGCTCTCCTTTCATGTATATGTCTTGGGGCTACTTCAGCAGACTCTGGCTATGAAACAGGCATGGGAAAGCAGAGAGATACAGCAGGAGCTGCTTGTGATCGAATCCGTGGGCAGTTTGATTGCTCACTGTGCTGGGAGGGGACAGGGGTTGTTACTAGTGTGATCTCTGTGTGCTGATGGCAAAACCCACCATGAAAGTTCAGTGTCCCAACAGCGAGCTCAAAACTCTGGCCATTACACAGATTAAATCACACTCTGTCTTTCCTCACCAGGCAAACTTTGTACTGCTGCAGGTGTTGGGGGTGACTTAGAGCACTGGGATACATCTGTGATCAGGCTGGCTCCACAGATTCTCACAGAGCAGCATTAAGGATCAAACGGTGACTCTGATGTGGTTTATCATTGAGATAAGTGCCAGCCTGTCTTCTCCAAACCCCTTGCATCTCTTCTGCTTGCAATGCAGACCAATTTATGACTTGAGCTACACCTCCTTAGATTTTTTCTTCCCTGCTTGTCTCACTCAAGATTTCCAGTTTTGCTGGTCTGTAAATTGTTTTAAATTAAGAAAAGCAAGGCCAAAAAAGTTTGCTTCTAATATTATTTTGAGCTGACTTCTTCACACAGTCAGAGTTTATGTCACTACATAGTGCAAGAGAAAATACAGAGGAAAACATCATACTAAGTCTATACCACCTGCAATTAACTGTAGTTATGGTTCTTTCTTAGCAGTGGGACGTTACTAAAAGAACCCTTGGTGCTAGCAACAAAAACATTCCAAGTTTTTAGTCTGTTAGGTGGTGTCCTGACTGAAATAAACCCGGCATAATCTGTCTCATTTTTCAAAGGGAATAATGATGTTACTCACCACAGGTCAAGGTCAGCAAGATGAAATGCTGTGCATTCCTCCCCATGGCCAGCACGACTGCAGGTGTGGGAGGTGCTGCTTCTCACTGTGGAGCAGGCAGAGAGGAAATCGAGGTGTCCTGCAGACTGAAAAGTTTCACTTGGTGCAAGGAGTGCTCTGTCACATGGCTGGGAAGGAGGTGGAGAGAGGGGGAGACTGATGCTTCTGTAAACTGCCACAGAAGGAAATAAGTCATGGTTAGGAAAGAAAGTGAAAACAGAAAGAACTGCTGGGGGAGGATAGGCTCACACTCTGCAGCTGAGATCTGGGGACCTCAATGCCAGGTGAGGCTTCATGTGCCTCCCTGCTGTTCTGACAGCCTGGTGCAGACTGCACATGTACCCCAGCACAGGGTTACAGCCTGCAAATCAGTACCTTCCCTTGTGCTCTTTCAAAAAGTACTGTAAGGTGAAACTCTTTTTATGCTAAGGCACAAGAGGAAGAGGTGTGACCTTGAGCCATCTCCTGCTAAGAGTAAGACAGGGCTGAGCCCCAAACGGGCTCTTCATCCTAGATGGGACCGTCAGCAGCCTTTGTTGGCTGATCCAGTCCTGCCCCAAGGCCTGAGCTTGTTGAAGCTGGACCAGCCTGGGGGGCTCAGTGTTGGTGTAGCATCCAAACACACTCCTCGGCAAGTGGCAATGCCTCACCTCTGTCCCATGAAGAGCCTCCTGCAAACCACACCAGGCAGGGGCTGCACGGGCAGGTCCCAGCACCAGGGATCTGCTCACGTGTGTGGCTGTATTCCCAGCCCTGGGCATTTGCCATGGGGAACAAAGCAAGCCCCATGCAGACATCTGGTGTGCTCCTAATTCTTTTTCTCACACCAACACTGCACTGTAGTAACATGATAAGGCCAATGACTTGAAAATTCAACTGAGGTGAAGTTTGCCCTGGGAAATCTGGATACTGTCTGAAACTAGTTCCAATTTATTTTGTTCTACTTGCATTTTGTTTCTACATTCTCATTTTTACCTATTTGCCCTTCTACATGATCCACAACATGTTTTTGGGTCAATTAGTGCTCCCTAATAAACACTGGTGGCCGAAGGTATGCAGATATCTTGGGGGTAACTGTAATAAAGTCATCCTCCGATTTTGTCTCAGCTGTCTGTGTCCCAGGGATTCAGGCACATCACTAAGGGAGATGGGTAAAGGAAAAAACCCCACTGTGCCTTTTGTGACACGTGTGTTGGACAAACTGAAGTTACATTGGAGAGATGTGTGGATTTTTTCCACTCTGCTGATGTGCCTTTACTGATATTCATTTATTTTGAATAGGAGAAACCTCATTTGACTTATTGCTTCAAACAGAGACATCAGCCACAGAGTTTTGTACTAGTTATAATTTTTATAAATTTCAAACAAAGTGTGGTTCTACACAGGTCAGAATGGCCTAATTACAGGAAGTTCATTTGCACATTTTCTTGTAATAAAGTCATACATTCTGTCTTGACTGGAAAAAAAGGACAGGTAATTCTGTGCTCTTTCCCAATCTGATTATCTCTCATCAGTCACAATATACAAATACATCATTATCAATACCATGGAAATCATGTAAAAAACCAAACTGTACCAATTCTCAGCTGGGGAGAGGAAATCTTAGCAGCTATTTCAGCTCCAGCTGCAAGAAGAAATACACATTTTGGCTCTTTTTTCTTCTTATTCTTATATATATTTTAACCATATATATATTTGAAGTCTTTGAGTATTTTTGGAAAGAAAGCACACAGCCTTTCTCATACCCAATCCTGTTTGAAATATCAAGAGTCTAATAAAATAATCGATAATAAAATGGCTTTTCATCACATACACAACCAGAACATAAGACACACACACAGCTTTGTTATCACTGGCAAGAAAAGCCAGAGCTCAGATGTGGTTTGGCCATAGCCATTTATGATCAAGACAATGACCATCAGTTTTGTTCTCCACCTGGCAGGGTTCAAGGTGAGAGGAGAGGATCAGGCCTGATTACATTTTAGCCTGGTTTACTAAAAGCAAGACTTGTGTGTCAGCAACTGCATCTGTTTGCCATTGCCACCAGTAAAGAAGGACTCTGCTGCCCACCTGCACCTGGCTGAGCAGAGGGCAGTTTAGAGGATGTGAAGTTTCTGCAAGTGTCACAGAAAAGCAGCAGAGCACAGGGAGGAGATCCAAGTCAACCCTCAGCCCAGAGGGCAGGTCTCACCAGTCCAGGCCCAGGGAGCACAGCCAGGCAGCTGGCAGGGACTCGCTGGTCCAGCAGCAAGGACACTGCTCAAACACAAGTGCTGCTACAGCAGAGATTTACCTTCGATCTTGTGTCTTCTACAACTAAAACTTTATGGCAACCATTACTTTTAAATGACTTTCTGGTCACTATATCATCTCCAAACAACACTGAAATTAAATCCATACCTGAAAACTATGATTTTTAGGTCCATCTGCCTGAAAAGGTGTCAAAGACCTACACAGAGAGTAAGCATACCTTAACATACACATTAGTCTTGCTGGACATTACCAAGTCATATTCTAGACTGTACATGGAGAGTCATTCCTTTAATTACCACTTTGCTTGACAGAAACACACTGTGTACTATTTAAGAAAAACAAAAAGCCATCAAACCTCATTTTGTCTCATCAGCAAAGCCAGAAGGTTACTTCTTGTGGGTTGCCCTCAGACTTGTCAACAGCCTGACCTGTCCCTGGACTTCATCCTTTACCAAAGCAAAGCCTGCAGTGGCTCTGTCTCACTGACACTCACTCTGCAGGCACCAGCCAGGCAAAGGTGCAGAACCAGCTGCTAGGACTGCCATGTGCTCTGGGTTTGGAATGTGGAGACAGAAACAGGCAGCTGTGGAAAGGCTAAAGACACAATTAATGGTTATGGGCTCACTGCTCAGGTTCAGTGTGACAGTGTGACTGACTAGCTGTCCCAGAGTCAGCTCCCACAGACCAGAGTGCTGTACCACTGCTGTGCACAGCCACGGGGCACAGAGTTACCTCTCATCCTCAGGACACTGATGGTGCAGGACAGACTCCAACTTTTGTCCCTTATGATAAAACATGAGATTCTGGGGGGGAAAAAGAGCTTTCAAAAGCAAAGTAGGGAGGAAAATTGTGATAATCCAGCCCATACCTTCACAGTTGTTATGACAAGATGGTGAGCTGGGAGAAGAGACATTTCATCAGCAATCCTTTTCCCTGCTCCAGCTCTAGACTGTTCCTGGGATGCTGCCACTGGCACTCAAGGAGGGCACACAGCAGGACATATGGAGTTGAATGCTTTGCTTTCCCCTGGAGGGTCCCAAATTTTTGCATACATGGTAAAATTTAGCATCAGAATTCAACACATGGGAAATTCAATAGGTCCCATTTTACAGGAAGGTATCGAGGCACCAGGGGATGCAGGACTAGCACACTGTCACCCTGCTCACAGCAGAGGATGGACTGACAATATCTATTTCTCATCTTCAGAGACTTCCCACTGCCATTTCAACATAAGAATTAGATTCCTCAAAAAAAAACCAACTCCAAAGTGCAGGTTTTCATCTTTCCATCTGTCAGCAACGTCATAAATCCTCACTTTGACAGTTCCATATACCTAGGGTAACCCTTCCCCATCTCTCTTACACACACAAAAGCTTGCTATACTTATTAATGTGCAATCAAAGCTCCCTACCCTTTCCTCTCCTATGCTTAGGGCAGGGGTAGACAGCAGCACTGTTATCAGGCTGTGCAAAAATTACTGAAAGTAATAAAGAAACCAGAATGAACTCATTTTAGGGAGAGGATAAAATAATTGCTCTACAAGAAAATATCACTGCATTTTTTTCTTAGGGGACAGAAAGGAATTAGTTCTTCCCTCAAGATGCTGATAACTGCAGTAGACCAACAGGATTCATGTTCCTGAGAGCCTATGTGTCATTTTTGAGGTAAATGACCAGCACAAACAGGCAAGTTCCTGTCTCCATAGGACAAAAATAGCTCCAAAATGGTACAGAACTCTTGGGTCCTTTAGTCATGAACAGAAAACATCTGAATTTGCAGGGTTTAGATACAGAGGGTTAGAAGAGCCATAGGAATTAATCACCACAGTGCAACTCATAATTAACCAATAAATCTTCACGGGCAAAAAAGATCTGAATAAGCCTTTACCTACTCCAAGGCTTTTGCTCAGATAGGACTATCTACCTGCTTCACAGCTATCCTGACTCACACACTAAGGTATTTGCAACACCAGCCTGCACTGAGACACAAAGGAAAACATTCGGGTCCCTGCAAAGGTGATAGCAGAGATGATACAGACATTTACTGTTTTGCTCAGAGGCTCAGTTAGTGAAGAGTGGGGTTTGGTTTTGCTTCTTCTCTGTTTTTAGTGCTTTTGTCCCCTTTGTTATTTACACAAAGCATCACTAGTCTGAGGGTTAAACAAAACATCCCTAAGAGTGAAAGCCACTCACTCACTCTTGAGCTTCTTCTAGGGTCATTTTTACCAGACTGATCTTTGCCTGTTTACAACCCTTAGTCAATACTCATCTTTACTAAAGTATTAGCAGCTTTTGTGGGACCTAAGACCCAGTTACTATCAAAATGCCTCCATGCCTTAACAGCTGCTCTAAATGAGCTAATGGCTTTGTATAGGAATAACATAATCTGTAATCACTTTATATTATACATTACATCCTTATGTGGCAGAGATTTGGTACAGTCCTTTAATCAAATGTCCTGGAAAGAATTATTTAACAACAACACTTTACCCACTCATTAGAGCATCTAATGCTCACTGCCTATTTGCAATGCTTAAGTATATTCCAAATGGGGGATGAAATGGATCTACTCATAGCCCAGCACACAAGGAAAGCATGCAGCCTACTCAAACATGTGACAGTAAATGGCATTCAATTGAATTCTTGGCACCAGGTGCAAAGGGTTGTGATCCAGCAACCAGAGACTGCAGAGGGGGCAGAGGAATGACTTAGACTGTAAAAAGAGTTCAAAATGTTCTTTGTCACAGTAGCTGTTACATGTCTTTACTTCTCTGCTAAGCCAGGAGCTGCCACCTGCATCATTCCAAGGTAACGCTGTGTGCAGCAGGACCTTCACTGTGCCATCGCAAGGAGTCACGTCGCTGCTGCACGGAGCCTCTCTGATGGTCCCAGTCACAAGTTTCCTTTCCATTGCCACCCTAAAATGGGATGTTTTTGGTGTTGACCATCAGTAAAAAGGGCACATTTGTGAGGATGTATCAGCTGGAATTAAGGACAGGGAAGGCACAGCCAGAGGCAAGCAAATGGAAAAACCTCCCAGCGACCCCATGGTAGAGCAAGAACTCATAACTGTCACGTGCCCCTCTGCAGTGATGCTGTGGTGCTCAAGCAAAGTTGCCAAAAGGTGCGTGCATAGAAACTCTTCAGCTCTGCTGTCGACCTAATTTAGGCCACATCTTCTGAAACAGTTTGATAATCAATGCAAGAAGCATTTTTCTCCTCTAATACTGAAGGTAGGTTTGATGTTTTCTGGATGTTTAATGCTCCTTTCAAGTTTGTTTTTCCCAGCTTGCCAGGTGGACAGCACAGTTCTCATCTGTTCATACTGATAAAGTTTTAGTGAATTGTGAATCTCAGAGCTTGTGAGAAAGGCAACTTTGATCCAGTGTCCACCCAAAATAAAGACAGATGGATGGGGTCCTGAGGAAGGCTGGTCCTGCTGTTCAGCTGCCAGCCCTCTGTTCTGCTGGGAAGCTTTTGGCCACCTCACTTTCCTTCGTGTCTGACTCTACTGAAGCTGTACTGCAGGAATCGTTGTACGTGTCTGAAAAGGAGGACATGGGCATTGTCACTACAATATGTCTATAGGATTTTCCATCTACAGTCTTGAGGTTCTCTGTTAAAAGCCTGAAATAAAATAAAACATAAATAATCACAATTCTACTGCTCTCCTAATTCCTTCATAAAAAGCAAGGGAGGCTCTTTTGGTACGTAACTAACTGTGATGTGTGTGTGACTTTGTTTTTCTTTTGAAGCATCAGACATGCCAAAGAAATGAAAGCCAAAGTTCTTTCAGTTGGGCACTTAGGGTGAAGACAGAACTAACCTGCTGAGGAGATGATGGTGTAGCAATTACCAAACTCCCTTTAAACCACAGCAAAGAGTCCTGGTTAACTTTCAAAACGGGGTTTCTCCATTTTAACAAACTGACCAAAAAAAAACACCCAAGAGACACCAGTAACTCAGAACAAAGTGCTGGCAACTCTGTATCACAGGTCTCCAGGCTGTGCCAGATTTTACTTTCTTCTGTTACCAGGAGAAAAGCAGGACACATTTTGGTAAATTGTATTTAAGGATGGGCAAAAATTAATCTAAAATTGGAAACCTTTGATCTGCAGAGTTGCTGAGATTCAGCTTTTCTAGTGCAACCTGTTTGGGTGTTAGGTCAGAACCAAAGCTTAAGAAAGGATGACTTGTACTGCTGATTGGGCTGAAATCTTGCCAGAGCAGCCCTTCCTCCAGCTTTTGGAGCCAGCAGTGAAATATGATGAAAGCAGTAATGGTTCATGAAATTTAAATGTTTTCAAACGTGGGCCAGAACCACAGCCCTGATGCTGATCTACATCCAAAACGCTCTCCATGTCAGGATCAAAGCTATCCTGCAGGCACACCCTGCTGTATGGCACACTGGGGCTAGCTGTAAAGTAGCCAACCTGGGTACTGGTAGCCATATATGTTTGTTGGGAGATTCAAGTTCTGCCCAGGAAAGGGAAAACAATTAAACTAAGTCAAGGAGAGTTGCTTTGCTTAACTAGCTCTGACACCCTGGCACCAAATTTCAGGCTAGCTCAGCCATGTCACCAGAGGCTGCAGCACAGACATGCATTCAGGTGAGTACTTTAATACAGAAAGTGCATTTTTATCACATCAGTTTTTATCATATCCTTTTTCAGTATGAAAAATAAATAAATGCCAGTAACATGTTTTCTCTATTACCTGCATTGCTGTTCTTAATTATGTTGCTACTGTCCCCCTCTGCTGGCTGCAGTATACTGGAAGGAACCCACTCGCTTTTCTCAGAGACCAGTTTCTTCACTAACCTGAAACTCAGAGAACAGTCAGTGAATTTTCCTACATTCCCTTTCCCTGGGTTCTGTTTCTTAGAAGTGCATGTTGGGCAGTTATTTCCTAAACTAAGGAAGAGGCAGAGGTCCCAGGGCAGTCCTACAGGTGTCTGGTGATTAAGTTTCTTCAGTCTCAGGTGGTGACCCAGTATCCCAGGTCAAGCTCACTTGTAGGCAGACTGTGTGACAAGGAAGCAGTGACCTTGGCCTGTGTTTCAGACAGTGCCTTTGGGCTTGGTAGTGCTGGGTTAATGGTTGGACTCGCTGATCTTGGAGAACTTTTCCAACCTAAATGATTCTATGATTCTAAATTCAGAGCTGAAGAAAATTAATATTTCATATTATTCATCCCCCTTGCTGTAAATACCACCCAGGGTGGATGGGTTTAGTTCACTTGCCAACTACTTCTCCCTATGGAACTTGCTCCCTTCTCGGCCGCATGTCAGTTCCGAGTGAAGGGTCTGACTGCACAGGCACTTCAAGGAGATCAGATCTTCTTCCTGCAAATTGCCCATGCTGGGAGAATTCAGATGTCCAGGCAGGTCTGTTCCTAACACTTGGCAGTAAGAGAGAATCAATGCACCAAAACATTTGTGAGTTTAGCGAGGACAGACTCATTCCCCTTTGTCAATCATGTCTTACATCTGAACCCTTGGGGATAAAAATGCTCTCAGTGGAAGACATGAAGATTTTACTGATGTGTCCTATGGGAAAGTACTGCTTTTGACAGTTGTCCTTCTGGCTAGAAGTTGCCAGAAGTTGAAATATTCCTGTCCTTTTTCTTTATGCAAACTTCTGCCCTCTTAAGCCTCATGTCACAAGGATTTGGGATGAAAGCCAACCAGGTGGAGTTAATCAAAGCTGCCTGTGTGTTCATACCTCCCACTGCCTCTCATGCTGTGGTCAATAGGGTGAGTGGATTTGGATTGATTTTGAAGAGACTTTGACATTCTTCTGAATGTATTCCATCTTTTCCAAGAGGTTATGGGTGTTCTACCTGTCAAATTCTGTCTCTCTGCTGTACTTACCATTGACCGTTCTCTCCTTCCTGCACAAACTGCACTAAATCTCCATCCTCAAGAGTAAGAGAATCTGGGAAACAGCTGTCAAAACTGCCTTCTACCCGAAAAAGATTGCTCCCCTAAAATGAATGAAACAAGGCACACAGTCACTGTGGGTGAAAACATCGTGCAAGAGAGTGAGTTTAGTTAAATACTGAATTAGGCATTCCAAGCTGGCAGAGATTTCTTCTGTAGGGAATTGTGTCACTTATTCCTTTTATCATGCCTAGGTTATATATTATTTAAAATTAGGACAGAACTGTGCTATGCTTCAGACTTTATTGTGATATAAAACTTGTGTGAAGTTATCTGGAAAAGTCTGAAATTACTTTTTTAAAGGCTCAGAATTTTCCCTCACTTGTGTAGCAGGTAAAGCAACAGATTACAAGTGAGGGTGCTTTTTGTGGTCCTCATCCTGATCAACTAAAGGATCTTGGAATAATTTCCCAACACCCCAGATCAAATTCTCATCTTCTGAATTCCCACACATCCATGAACCCAAACTTTGCAAATTAAATTGTGATCTTCAGAGCAGGTTATACAGGGAAAGGGCAACATAATTGGAAAAAAGAATTACATTGTTGGGGTTGGTCTCTTCCTCCAAGTCAGACGAGTTGGAGAGTTCATCCATACTGGAGGGGATGGCTTCAAAATCTTCAAATGTGTCTAGAGAAGGCATTTGCCTGCTGGGCCAACCTTTTCAAAGGAGATAAACCAAAGAGTTAGCTACCAGTCATTAGTCTCTTTCAGACTGTCTTTATAAAGTAAATGCCATAGGTTCAGTTCCCACTATTTCAGTTGCTGAAATGCTTGTACCTTTTTATACTTACTCCATGATTTTGCCATAAGAATTATGCCACAGCCATTGCTCTGTCTCTAAAAGCCTGTACCACTCGCTGTCATTTGTGGCAGGGCAGACTGTGTGGCTGCAGTGTGCATGCCCATCCAGGGTTTAGCATTGCTAAATCACTGCAGTTCAGGATGTACAAAAAGCAAGGACAAGGAATATTTCTGCAGACCCCACGCTGTAACAAATGAGAACTTGTGCTGACATGACTTCCAGAAGGCCATGCTTGTTCAGTTTCCCGCTTACCTCCACACACCTATCTATAAATTGAAGTCCAAAGCCATAGAATTTTGGTTAACTTCTTATCTCCATCTCACCCCAAGGTGATATTATCACCTGAACAACTTACAAGACTATACCCTGGAGCAGGGCAGGCACAGGGTAAACAACAAGGCATAAAGACAACCAGACCTTGGTGGTACAGAGGGAAGATCTCAATCCTATTTCAGCTCTTAACAGTCTTATTGCATGATTTGCACCCAGAACCACCGTAGCCCAGTGGAAAGGACTTAATGAGAGGCAGTCTTCTTGCATGATTTGCACCCAGAACCACCATAGCCCAGTGGAAAGGACTTAATGAGAGATTTCCAGCCCAAGCACAACATCCAGTTTCTTTACCTACAGAGTCATGTGCACAGGATGTGTCCTGAGGGAAATTCAGGCTAAGCCTTAGAAAACCTGCCTGCCTGAGGCTTCCAGGATGAAAAAGTAGCTCAGCCTCTTCTGTACAGGCAGCAATCATGATCTACACTTTCCTTCATTTCATGCCTGTCTCTTTTCTGATGGGTAGTCCAACCAGCAGGAAACAGACCTTGCATTGACCAAAGGATTCTGCATTCCTGACAGATACAAACTGAATGAGTCAGTCCAATCAGCATGTGCCTTCCTGCTTAATGTACCTGCTGTGTGTTAGCTGCTTCACAGGGTATTGGTCTGAGCAGATGTTGAATCAAGTTCTTTACAGCCTGTGGGCCACTGCTCTCAGCAAGGCAAAGCACTGCTCTGACCATGAGGCACAGAGACAGATGCTCACACAGTGGGATTATGCATTTCTCATCACTCACAACCCACACCAAAACCTGGCCTGAGACAATACAAAACCCAAGCCAGGCGGGTCAGGCAGTAAGCAGAAAAGTGACCTGATCTGGGAGAAATACATTTAATATTTAATCCCTCCCCATGCACATCCTCCCTGCTATAGGCACTGGTTGGTGCAACAAGTGGTCATGCAGCTCTGTAGCCCTTTCTCCTCCCCAGGGGCTGTGTCTGCCCTGGCCACTGTAATCCAGTTACAAGAGACAGTCACCTTCTTCCACCAGAGCAGCATCCCCAGTTATAACCCTATGGGTATGGTTAGGTCATCTGTACTTTTCAAGGGGTAAACTAGCCTCTGGAGTGGCACTCATGTGCTGGCCTGTGAGTGTCTATTCCAACAGAGTTTGGGACAGAGGAGACAATTTTGGACACAGACCACATAGCATACAGAACTGGATCCCTTATTATGGATCCATTGATTCACACAGGCAAAATACTAGCAAATGTGTAAATATACAAGAATATGTCAATGCTAATTAGCTTCAAACTGCTACAGCAATTTAAGTTCAAATTCACAGGTTGGGCTACAAACACCAAAAGAAAAAGATACCCTCTCCCCCCTTAGTCAAAATAATCTTTTGCCACTGTCACTTGCAGAAAGCATCCAAGGCAGAAACCTAACCAGCAAGGATTCCTTACAAACACATGCATCAGCCTTCCTCTTGCATGCAAATTGGTATTCTAATTTCAGAGACTAAGGAATTGCCTAAGTTTTACATACTTAATTCAAGCTATAAAATAAGACAGGTCAAATTCTGATGTCCCTGACATCCGTTAAAAGAATTATTTTCAGCTGTGCTCAGAAAACCAGAATCTGGGGCACTGTTTCTAGATTTGCCAAGTGATCCAAGCTTGTTCTTTCATTGCTTTGGTGGGAAATAATATTCACCAAAAGAGAAAGATCTCTTTATGTTAAAGAGAGTAAATGTTATCATAAATTTAGATTACACTCTCAAATTGAAATGATAAATGCTTTAATTTTGTTTACCTGTCTGTGAAGCAGATCTAGGTACGGATCTCGTGGTGGAACCAGTATTACATTTAGTCTGGGCCAATATGGTGTTCTCAAAAGCATCTGTGACAGGAAGTACAATTTGTGTCTTCAAGGTGAAATAGTGACCAGACAACCAGTACAAAGTGAATTCCTGTATCACCTCTACAACTGGAAGTCTCTAACAAACAGGTGGACTGTGGTCCAACAGTAATAAAAGAGGAGACACATGACCAGCACAAATGAGTGAAAGGACAGCAGCATTCCACAGAAAAACTGTAAGTCTGAGAAGGACAGAGAACAGCCAAATGAATCAGACAGAAATATTGATGTTAATTAAGGAAAACAATGTCTGGGTGAACAGTGCAGTGTTCTACTTCATTACAGCTTCATCACTCATTTTTACCATACTTCCCTTGCAGCATTTCAAATTGTTCTGTAGGTGATGGCCTGTGGTTTTGATGCCTACCCATACAGCAGTGAAAGAGGACCAGGGAGGCTAGAAATTAATTATTTCAGTCTTGATGAGTGCAATGCAATTTTGTGGAGGACATTTTTACCTAACTATATCAAATCCTGTGTGTTATTACCTCTGCCAGAGCTCTGGCAATACCAGCAATATCTTCTGGTAAAGGGATGATAAAGTTCATTGTTTCCTCTACTTAAAGAAACTCGGTCTGGTGAGGGATAATGTGCAGTACCATGTTTTTAACCAGTGAGGATCAACTCAGCTCTATCCTACATGCTGTATATTTGCACCATGAAATTCCCCCTCTGCAGCCAAAGGGTATGCTGAAATCAGAGTTATCTGTCAGTGAGGAAAGTGAGGTATAAACACCACAGTTTGTGAAACTCTGGTGCTGGGTGCCGCCAGGGTGATTCTAAATGTAGTGCCAGAGGTCACTGGCAAAAGGAAATACTCTGCAAACAGCAAAACTAATTCTACTGTCTCTGAATTGTTTCTTCCAACCTATCTGTTCCAGTCTCCTCTCCTGCTGTGAGTGACACAGGAGATAGCACTGATATGTCACTGACCTCTCCACCTCCCTTCTGTATCAAGTTTTTGTGCAGAGCTACACAATACTAAGAAAGGAATCCCCAGCCTATATCTCTCCTCCCTGTCCTTCTGCAGGGGTACCTGGTTTCTTGTGCCCCACAAGGCAACATCCTCTGGCAAATGCTCAGGTAAAGGGGAAAGGTAACAATGGAAGCTGGTGATCTTCCAGTGGCTGGAGAAGAGCTTCACAATTTAACTAATATTGCTTCTTAAACAGCAATTGATTAATCTGCTGCAGCAAATGTGGAAATTCTGCTTGTCTGAAATGAAACACTGCACCTTAAATGGCTATTAATGCACACTCTAGCCTCTTCTGTGGTCTTCATGCACATGGCTCCTGATCCTCTCCTTAGGTATAGACACTAACAAGGGAAGAGGGATGCAAATAGCCAGACTGCAGGTGACAATGAAAAGTAGCCCCTTGGCTCCCTGCTGCTGCTCTCCATATGGAGTGAGACAGAAGCCAGGCAGAAAATCCAGATCCAGGTGGCAGTCTAGAGCATTACTTCCCGAAACAGGCAGAGAACTGGGGTTTTAATTTAGGCCCTTCCATAGGTGGCTATAACATGAGTGCAGGAGCCAGGCAAGGGAGTGACAAGCTGTCTTTATCCCAGTTACACAAATAAACGGACCCCAAACCCCTAACGGACTCCATTGTCATCTGCCAGCTGTGATGAGATGTGAATTCGGTGAAGAGTATCAAATGATTGGCAAACAGGTTTTCATGCAGAATGGAAGTACTCATACCTTCAAACCCAAGGGGAGTTGGGTCACTCTTTATTTCATGTCTCTTGACTTTAACTGCAGGAACAAGGGGACCTGTGTGAAGTTTGCAGAGTCACAAGGCTGTAAATATTGTTAAAGGAGAAACTTGCTTTCCCATTACCTGGAAACACTAACTACCTAATACTTTCCATTTCACCCAGGAAAATTACCAACCCCTAGATTCTAGGTGGTGAAGATACACTCAGTTCTGTGGACTGGATAGGAAACAGATCCCTTTTTGCAAAAGACATTGAGACATCACAGTCAATGTATCTGCTTCCCTTCAAGTCTCACAGATGCTTCCTCTCACTCTTGCCCGGGAGGTGGCACTAAGTCAGCAAGACTGACCAGCTCAGCTTTCACTCATGAGGTTGGCAAGGCAGAGCCCACAAAAGCCAACAGTTACGCCCTGCAGAAGTGGGAACACCTCTCACAGGTCCATGTACAGTGCCCCTCCTGTGTCCCAGCTCCACATGTGGAGGCCTGGTGATGTGAGGGAGCTGAACTGTCAGCAGGGAGGATCAGACATCACCCTGGCTAAAACTGCATTTGGGCTGATGCTGAGACAAGACTCAATTCTTTTGTCATCTGAAATATTTTCTTAAAGAAAATGCTGTAAATAAAACACTTAATCAAAAAGCACTGATTTTGTTTTTCTAGATTGTAAAATCTTTAGAAAAGTAGCTTTCTCAGCATTCCAAGAGATTGCTAACAGTCTTATGACAAACAGGATCCTCGGACAGGAACTTTTTCATATGCAACTGTAAAAAAGTTTGAATTTCATTGGAATTCACATATACTTTCTTTGATAAACCACATTAAAGAACAACCTTGGGTTGCCCATTCTCTTTGTACACGCGTGCTTAGTTCTGTTCCACAGCAGCAGAAGTAAATATTGGGAAATAAGTTAGTCATCCCACAACTCATGTATTTCTGAAGTTGTTGCTGAGGACAGAAAGCTGTAAGAACCTTTTCTCCTGTGCTATGCCCATCACTTCCATGTGGTGATGTTTTAGTGTTATGGTCTAAAGAAGCTGGCAAAGAAACATTTGTAGGCAGCAGGACTATCGTGTCCTTCCTCTGCCAATCAACCCCACCATCCTCTCATTTCCTGACAGCCTCATTGCAGTCAAGGATGCAGTTCATATCCTTCACACCTGTTAAGAAGGCACCAAATCCTGTGCAACTTTCTTCTTGACAAATATAGAGCAAAGATTTTTATACAAATTAATTCAGTCATTTGCCCTTCTATTTTGGTTTGTGAATTGCCCTGCAAATCTTAACCTTGCAAATCAGTTCCTCCACTCCAGGAACAGTTAAAAGACAGTATATTCAGAATTCCATGTGTTCAGAAGACCATATGTTCTGTTCTCAAATGTATCCCTGACATGTCAACATAGGTGCCCACAACTCTACTGATTTTCAACACAATCAGCTTGCCTAAATGCATGGGTTGCTTTTGAGTTTAAATGTAGGCACTAGTGCAGTAACTTAAACTTTGCAAAAGTGCCTTTTCTCAAAATAATTAAAGTTCAAAAATAAAACTTTCATAACTGCCCACACAAACTGCATGGAGGTCAGTGCATTCTGGGCACCCAGATCCCTTACACATGTCTGAAAATTTCCTTGCAAACATAATACTTAATCATAATGGCAGTATTGCAAAATATTATTTAAACTGGCATCAATTTGTACTCTATTTTTGGCTTGATTTCAGGATTTCTTGACATCTGATGTCTGCTACGCAATGAGGACATTCTGTCCTTCTTGAAAGTAAAAATCCTAAACAGCTTTAAGGAAACAGAGAGATAATTTCTATTGAATTTCAGTTAATCCAAACCAGGGAGAAGTTGGAAATCTAACCCCACATCAGCCAAAAAGTAATTCAGTTTCCATGGACACCTGCAAAACTTTTTGAAGCCTATTATGGAGAAACTGAGAGGAGTCACTCTCTGTGCTGACAGCACACTTTGATACACATTCAAAATGTCTTGGCCTGCCTCTCTGCAGGTGTTACACTGGTTCTGACTCTTCTACTGGAACCTCCTGCTGGTATTGAAATTGAGCTCTGTGAACAGCATTTGGTAGTGAATATATCAGCAAGCAGGAAGGGAGGGGGTAGCTATGCAAGCAGCATGACAGTACCTTTGGTCACAGCAGAAGCATTAACTGTGGTGCTGATGGAGGAGGCTAGGGAAAAGCGACGGGTAACTTCTCTTTCCTTAACTTCTGGATCTGGGAGAATAGACAGATGCAATGCAGGGCAGGGTTAGAGGTTAATTAGCATTGAGGGTAAAAGATGTTCTAAGCAAAGCAGCAGCTGGAAAAGGGTAAATAAAAGGTAGGTTGCTCCTCTAAAACGATCAGGAGAAATACCCTCAATGACATCAAAAACACAGAAAAGAGTTGATATGAACATATTTTCAAAGCAAGTCCAACTGCACCAGTTTTCATACTTCAGAAAAGAGTCTCATGCCAATTATTATTTTAGCAAACAACTAGTGTCCAAGAACAGCTACAAAACACAGAGACATGAACAGGATGGCTAGAATGGGAGGTGTGTCTGCAGATGAGGTTTGGATTATTTTAGACACTGAACTGCTTGTTCTGTGATGACCGACCTGAAATACACTGAAAACCAAACATGAGTGGTTTGGAGATCACATTTGCCCCTTCTAGGAGTTAACTGTGTGAATGCCTGAACACACTCTCTGAGCCTCCATCTCTACTGGTGCAAACCAGCTTGGAGAAAGTTAAGGCTACAGAAAGGTTTTTTGTTTACTCCAGTTCAGATCCTGCCTGTTGTCAAAGTCCACACAGGAGTGAAAACACAACTTCCCCAGATTTCACTGAGGTGTGTTGGAGCTATGCCAACCCCAAGGAATATGAGTTTGGCTCTGCAAACCAGGACACCTAATGCTGACCCAATGGTGGGGGAGATGCAGAGTGCTGTGCGTGTGGACTTTGATATATGTTGGTGCCAGCTCTGCTATGGCTGTCCTGGGGATCTCTGCACTGATGGAGTACAGGATGATAAAGTTTCTCCTCCAGGCATCAGCATTTCCTTGGGCAAAACACCAAGGTGCTTGTATACAACATTTTCTAGCCCATCATATCCAGCCTGGGTAGACAGTTCAGCATTGCCCTGAGCATCTCTGCTCCACCACCAGTTGGTATCCATCAGGCAATCTTGTTTTCACCCTAGTTAGTCTTGGTACTTTATTGTTTAGACCTTCTCTGCCATCTGGACTTGAACGGGCACAGTGGGTCTGAACAAATATGCCATCCCCTGGCATGGCCAATAATGAATCTTTAGACAAAGGTGTCAAGAGCAAGACAGGCCAATTGCAGACACTTCCCTGTTCCCTTCCCACAGCCTCTGATCTGCTTTAACACCCAGCCCATGTAGTGCTAACACAGTTTTGTGTCTCGTTCATTGCCTGCAGGAATGACCCCACTCTGCTGATCACCCAACCTATTTGCTAATGGTTCCCTCTAGGCCAGGACCAGATCAATAATGGAACAGCACAGCAAAGCAAAACAGGACATTGTGTAACAGAGGTGTTTCACAGGAATCTCAAGTAACCAGACCCAGCAAGCCTTTGAGCTGGGATCACCTACAGCTTCTGAACTGTGCTTTGCTGCCTGCAATAGTGAACACAAGGCAAGACACTGCATGACAAGAAAAATTCAGACAAAATAGTGAAAGAGGCCCAAAAGAAAATTGTAGATCCAAACTCGCCCAAATTACAGAATTATTCTGCGTTTCTGAACTCTGTATTTTGTGACTGATTTCCTTGTCACAGGATCTGAAAACCACTCCATTTGTTGAATTCAGATATTGAACTCATTTGTCCACCTTGCATCTTACTACCATGTGCAGCCTTAACCTTGTAGACAGAATATGATGGCTGTGCTGGCTCTTGGTGTGTTCTTATTTACTTTTAAACATTGCAATTTAATGCTTCTGTATTTCTCCTTTTATTCTTTCAATTTGCTTATTCCTCCTTTGATGCTCACTCTCTCCATCACTGCACACTAAGCCTTTGTCTCACAGAGAAAATATCATTTATCAGAACAGGAGAAAAGCCACACAATAACAGTAATTTCAGTATCTTTTCAGAACGTGATTGTAAGCAGTCATTCAATTTAATTTATATTCACATTTCTTTCTTTCATCTGAAGTCACTTCCTTGTACAGCCATCACAGGAACACGCAATGCTCATGGGGATTAAATGTCTGCTAAACATTTATGCACAAAGACCCAGAACACACCATTTTACAGTGCCATGTAACACAATTAAGCAGAAATTGCATTAAAACCCAGATCTCCTGAATTCCCCAGTGTAACCACTGGGCTACGGCTGAGCAACATTTCAAAAAGCAAAGAGGTCCAACCAATAAATGATTTCACACATGAAAACCTTGTGTAGCACAACAGGGAGATGATACTCTTCCCTTCAAGCCTGTAAGTTGCTGAAAGAAGTTAAGTTGATCATTTAAAACCAGTTCACATTTTGACCCTTGAGAGAAACTGGAAATAGATGTTATTTGCACTGTACACCAGTAAAAGACCCAACCAGCCAACCCAAAGGTTGCCTTGCCAACACTGCTGTGGGAGCAATTTTTGGTAACGGCGTCTTTGAGAAGAGGAGCCATATGTGTGCGCCAGACAGGAGCATTTGGGTGAGATGCAGCAGCACTTTAGGAAACAGTGGTGGATGGCACTATGGGATGGAGAGAACATTGTGGGAGTGCAGGAGACAGATGGCCTGACCAAATGCTGCATGGGTGATTTTACCTTTGGGTGGAGCTCTGCGGTTGGAAAGACCTTGCAATGTGAATCGCTTTCTAGCAAGCGCTGTGCGCTCAAGGTTAAGGCTGGTGGAAGCATCAACTAGGAGAGAGAGGGAGAGGGAAGAGAAATAAGGAAGGAAGGGTCAGCTGTTCAGCTTATGGGAAAGGAAAGGTTAGCACTGGATGACAACTAAAAAAATAAATAAATAATTTTTGATTCAGTTCCAGCCTGAGCAAGAGCTAATCAATTAGAAAGGTGACATGAGGTCAGGGCGGGTGAACCAGCTGAGCCAAACGGAACCCCTGAGTTCAGTTTGGCTCACTGAGTTTTAATGGAGAACAAAAAAAAAACAAAACAAAAAAAAAACCAGGTGAAGGGATGCAGCTCTCATCAAAGTAAAATACACTTTAGCAGCAAGCTCATTAAAAAGGATCTAGTGCCTTTTACAATGGAAACATCACTGTGGTTGGAACAGCAAGTTGTAGGGAGAAATAAGAGAAGCTGCCTTGCAGTGCAGGACATGCAAATGTTGTGAGCAGTCCCACTTCTGCTATCCAGCATGAGCACTGAGGAGTCTGCTCTCACCAGCCCTGTGGCTGGTACACTCTCACCCTTACCTGTTGAAGCCTTTCTAATAGACTCCAAAGTTGACAAATATGCATTTGATCTCATCATTTGCTGGAATGTAAGGATGCCATGCCAGCAAAGCTTACATGCCAGATTCCTGCATGAATAAGCCAGTCATGCTGCCTGACAGCCACCTCTATAGGGATCAGTCCCAGATGGATCCTGAGACTTTGGGTTTGAAAGATACTCAGTTACTCACATTGCAGGAAATAGGTGGACCTAGATCAAATGCCCAGATCCATGCATT